TGGTATTTATTAGGTTTTTTTAATTTTTTTTTTTTTGAGACAGAGTCTAGCTTTGTTGCCCAGACTAGAGTGAGTGCCATGGCATCAGCCTAGCTCAAAGCAACCTCAAACTTCTGGGCTCAAGCAATCCTGCTGCCTCAGCCTCCTGAGTAGCTGGGACTACAGGCATGTGCCACCATGCCAGCTAATTTTTTCTAGATATAATAGTTGGCCAATTAATTTCTTTCTATTTATAGCAGAGACAGGGTCTCGCTCTTGCTCAGGCTGGTTTCGAACTCCTGACCTCGAGCAATCTGCCCGCCTCAGCCTCCCAGAGTGCTAGGATTACAGGCGTGAGCCACCGTGTCCGGCCTAAATTTGGGTATTTATTAGGGAAAGTTTTCCCACATTGTTCATCAGGCGTGTCTTGATCATTGGCTATTGTTCTTTTCATATACTTTTTAGAAACATTTCGAGTCTGCAAGAAAACCTAGGATTGCATTGAATCTATAGCTCAATTTGCAGAGAATGACATCTTGATAGTTTTCCAACACCGTGGTGTATTTGCATTTATTTAGTTCACTTGTTTTAATGTTGTTCCTTAAAGTTTTTCTCAAAGAGGGCTTACACATTTTTGGTTAGATTTATTATAAGTACTTACAAAAATTGTTATTTTATGATTAAGATGTCTTACCGTTGGCCAGTGGACTTTCTTCAAGCTGGCTCCTCTCCTTTGGACAAGACCCTAGCAGTAGTTGATTGCTTTCATGTAGAACATGTGTTCCAACATCATCTTGTACATTTCCTACACTGGTCAGCTTGTAAATGTATACGTGATCTGTGGACTTTTGGATTTCTGCTGTTTGGGGAAATTTTCTCCTTGTCTTTTTAAATTTTTTTAGTAATTTCCTAGGGTTTTTGTTGTTGTTGTTGTTGTTGCTGTTTTGAGACAGAGTCTCACTCTGTTGCTCAGGCTAGAGTGCCGTGGCATCATCAGCCTAGCTTACAGCAACCTCATACTCCTGGGCTCAAGCAATCCTCCTGCCTCAGCCTCCCCAGTAACTGGGACTACGGGCATGCACCACCATTCCCGGCTAATTTTTTCTATATTTATTTTTAGTTGGCCAATTAATTTCTTTCTATTTTTTAGTAGAGACAGAGTCTTGTTCTTGCTCAGGCTAGTTTCGAACTCCTGACCTTGAGCGATACCCCCCACCTTGGCCTCCCAGAGTGCTAGGATTATAGGCATGAGCCACCACGCCTGGTCCTGACATGTGTTCTATACTAGAAACTATTCCATATAAACTTGAGAAAAATGTATATTCCACTGTTGTTGGGTGAAGTGTTCTGAATGTCTGTTAGGTCCAACCGATATATAGTGCTTATCCTGTTTCTTTATTGATATTATGTGTGGCTGTTCTGTCTACTGAATTGAAAGTGGTGTATTATAGTCTTCAACTATTATTATAGAATTGCCTATTTCTCCCTTTAATTCTGTCAGTGTTTGCTTTATGTATTTTAGGCTCTGATGTTTGGTACATATACATTTATAATTGTTTTATCTTCATGATGAATTGTACCTTTTGTCAATATATACTGTTCTTCATTGTCTCTTCTAACAGTTTTTAAATCCAAGTTTATTTTTTCTAATATTAGTATACCCAGCCTAGCTCTCTTTAGGTTATTATTTACATGGAATATATTTTTCCAACCTTTCACTTTCAACCTTTTTTTGACTTTAGATCTAGAGGGACAGCATATAGTGGGGTGACGTATTTTAATCCATTCCACTGAATTATCCCTTTTGATTGGGAAATTTAATCTATTTGCCTTTCACATAACTACCAATAAAAAGACTTTTTTGTAATTTCATTACTTTGTTTCTGTATGTCTTATTACTTTTTGTTCATCATTTCCTTTATTACTGCCCTCTTTTTGTTTACTTGATTTTTTTTTGTAATGACACATTTTCTTTTCATTTTGTGTATACTACATAGATATTTTCAATAGGTTACCATGGGGATTAAATATAACATCCTAAGTCCCACTGCATAGTTTACTGCTCCAGTCCCAGCTCCTGCCCCATGCTATTCTCAGTATAAAATAGGAAAAAAAATCTACTTAGAAGGAATTTTAAAAGCAATTAAACTTATCAGCCTCAGAAAACTGAGGAGCCAGGTGCCTTCACTGACATTAAGAAACAGAGAAAGACAATCTCATTTTCATGTCATTTATTTCAATTTCTCCTACAGTATCAATTCTGTTGTGTTTATTAAGTGAAGAATAGCACCTGATAGCTTCCCAGAATTCCTCAAATTCAGTTTATCCTGCCAGTATTTCCCAAGTCTCTTAATGGATGTATATTTTCTAAAAACATTCCCACATTTTTACATTCATACAGCTTCTTTGCAGTGGGTTTTCACATGTACAGTGAGACTAGTAAAATGGATGCAGCATTTTCCCCATTCCCTACAATCAATTCCTCTAGTGTGACTTATCATTTTTACTAAAAGATGAAAGCAGACTATATGTGTGTGTGTGTATGTGCATGTATTCCCATATTTTTAACATTTATGTTTTTAGCCTCTGTGAGATCACCAAATATTAACACATGAAGCAGAAATAAAGCTTTCTCACATACCTTCATAGGGTTTCTCTTCACTGCATATTGATTTACTAATACCTGAAGGATTTTTAAAATTTCTTAACCACTCTGGTACCAGCGTCGACTATAGTCGATAGCCACAGACGAACGTGCACAGTGACTTTAGCCAACAGCCATGATATGAAGCCCCACAGGCGAGCATTGATGTTAGCCGACAGCTATGATATGACTTTTCTAATTTTTCTTTTATCAAAATAAAATTGTGAACATTTAAAAATAATGTATTGAAAACTTATATGCTTACGTTACCTATTCTGATTTACATTAAAAGTAAAGGTGCCTGTAAAGTAAAACAAGCTCTCAGTGCTTTAAAGCTTCCTCATCACACAAGAGCAAAACAGATTCGTTGTCAACGCACAACACAAGCTATCATGTGGACTATAACTGCTGGCTGTGGGCAAGGTTTCTTGGCCGGTGAGCACGGTACCGAAGTGGTTAAATTCATGAGGATTTTTGCACACGAAACCGTCAGAAATTTCTGAAGGATGTCCCAGATTTCTTACATATATAGAGTATCTCTCCACTGTGAGTTCTTAAATGTTGAGTTATTAAAAGGTATGAGGAAGTGAAGATGTTGTGGCCTTTACACTTGTAGGGTTTTTTTTTGTTTGTTTGTTTGTTTTTGAGACAGAGTTTCACTTTGCTGCCCAGGCTAGAATGAGTGCTGTGGCGTCAGCCTAGCTCACAGCAACCTCAAACTCCTGGGCTCAAGCAATCTTTCTGCCTCAGCGTCCCAAGTAGCTAGGACTACAAGCATGCGCCACCATGCTCGGCTAATTTTTTCTATATATATTAGTTGGCAAATTAATTTCTTTCTATTTATAGTTCAGACCGGATCTCGCTCTTGCTCAGGTTGGTTTTGAACTCCTGACCTCAAGCAATCAGCCCGCCTTGGCCTCCCAGAGTGCTAGGATTACAGGCGTGACCCACCGCGCCCGGCCACTTGTAGGGTTTTATACCACTGCAAATTCTCATGTGGATACTGAGGCCTTAGCGTGATGTAAATGTTTGAGCACATTCCTTACATACAGACGGTTTTCCTCAATGTGGGTTATGATGTCTTAAGGCACGTGGAGTATTGTAAGGCTGTATCTCAGTCTTACCTTCAATTGGCTTTTTTTTTTTGAGACAGAGTCTTACTCCGTTTCCCAGGCTAGAGTGAGTGCCATGGCGTCAGCCTAGCTCACAGCAACCTCAAACTCCTGGGCTCAAGCAATCCTACTGCCTCAGCCTCCCAAGTAGCTGGGACTACAGGCATGCGCCACCATGCCCAGCTAATTTTTTTCTATATATATTAGTTGGCCAACTAATTTCTTTCTATTTATAGTAGAGACGGGGTCTCGCTCTTGCTCAGGCTGGTTTTGAACTCCTGACCTCGAGCAATCTGCCCGCCTCGGCCTCCCAGAGTGCTAGGATTACAGTTTAATTGGCTTTTATACTAATTTTAGATATGTAAAATAAACAATGTTGGAAAAACAACAAAAGGCTTTCTGACATGTCTTAGAATGGTTTTCCCTCTCAAATATTACTTAATTTTTATTTATTTATTTTTTTTTGAGACAGTCTCGCTTTGTTGCCCAGGCTAGAGTGAGTGCTGTGGCATCAGCCTAGCTCACAGCAACCTCAAACTCCCGAGGTCAAGCAATCCTGTTGCCTCAGCCTCCCGAGTAGCTCAGACTACAGGCATGCACCACCATGCCCAGCTAATTTTTTATGTATATTAGTTGGCCAATTAATTTCTTTCTATTTATAGTAGAGACAGGGTCTTGCTCTTGCTCAGGCTGGTTTCGAACTCCTGACCTCAAGCAATCCGCCCGGGTCAGCCTCCCAGAGTGCTAGGATTACAGGCGTGAGCCACCAAATATTAGTTTTTATACTTTATAAGGTACAACGAATTACTGTTCTCCCATATTTCTTGTATGAATAGGCCTTCTGCCCATGGTAAATTCACACCTGCTATGTAAGAAATAAAAACTGAGTGAAGGTTTCTCACACATTCTTTTTTTTGAGACAGAGTCTCTGTTGGCCGGGCTAGAGTGCTATGGTGTCATCCTAGCTCACAGCAACCTCAAACTCCTGGGCTCAAGTGATCCTCCTGCCTCAGCCTCCCTAGTAGCTGAGACTACAGGCATGCACCACCATGCCCGGCTAATTTATATATATATATATATTTTTTTTTTTTTAGTTTGCCAATTAATTTCTTCCTATTTTTGGTAGAGATGGGGTCTTGCTCTCGCTCAGGCTGGTTTCGAACTCCCGACCTTGATCCATCCACCCACCTCAGCCTCCCAGAGTGCTAGGATTACAGGCGTGAGCCACTGTGCCTGGCCTCTCACACATTCTTTACATTCATAAGTTTTCTTCCAATTGAGTTTAGATACAAATACTAAGGTCTAAGGACAATTTCAGGTTTTTTCACATGCCTTAGTTCTTAGATGTTTAGCAAGTGCTGAAGACTGACTGAAGTTTTTCCCACATTCCTTACATTCATACGGTTTTGCTCCAGTGTGAGTTCGCATGTGAACATTAAGGCATGTGGAATATCTGAAGGCTTTCCCACATTCTTTACATTCATAGGGCTTTTCTCCTGTGTGAGTTCGCATGTGCATATTAAGATTTGTGGACCGAGCAAATGCTTTCCCACATTCCTTACATTCGTAGGCCTTTTCTCCAGTGTGAGTTCTTACATGTGTACTAAGGCCTGATGACTGAGTGAAGGCTTTCCCACATTCCTTGCATTGATATGGCTTCTCTCCAGTGTGGGTCCTTACATGTTGATGAAGCATTGAGGAATGATTAAAGGCCTTCCCACATTCTTTACACTCATAGGGTTTTTCTCCAGTGTGTGTCCGCATATGTAAAACAAGTCCTGAGGAACGAGGGAAAGTTTTCCCACATTCCTTACATAAATATGGCTTCTCTCCACTGTGAATCCTTACATGTTTCATGAGGTATGAAGAATGAATAAAAGCTTTTCCACATTCCTTACATTCATATGGTTTTTCTCCAGAGTGAATTCGTATGTGTAAAATAAGTCCTGTGGATCGAGTAAAGGCTTTTCCACATTCCATACATATGTAGGGCTTCTTTCCACTGTGAATTCTTATATGATCTGTAAGGTATGAGGAATGGGTGAAGGCTTTGCCACACTCTCTACATTTATACGGCTTTTCTCCAGTGTGAGTTCTGATGTGTAATTTAAGTCCTGTGGACTGAATGAAGGCTTTGCCACATTCTTTACAAATATAGGGTTTCTCTCCACTGTGAATTCTTACATGGCCTATAAGGTGTGAGGAATTACTGAAGGCCTTCCCGCATTCCTTGCATACATAGTGTTTTTCTCTATTGTGAGATCTCATACGTACCTTAAGGGATGACTGCTTAAATAAAGTTCTCTGACATTCTTTGCATTTACACAATTTCTCTTGTGTGTGAGTTTTCTTCTGGCCAGTACAATTTGGATACTGGCTAAAAGGTTTTCCATGTTGAAAAAACTCAGAAGTTTTCTCCCCAACATGAGTTTTCTTGTAGAAATTACCAATTAAGTTCTTTCTTAAGGCTTTTCCACTCTGATTATCCTCAGAAATTTTCTCTCCAATGTGAGTTCTCATGTGAGTCATAAGAGATAGATGTTCACTGAAGACTTTTCCACAATGGTTAGAGCCACAGAGTTTCTCTGCAGTATTGCTTCTCTCCTGTTAAGATATGAATGATGACTAAAGATTTTCTCATATTCAGTACAGTAATAGAATTTCTCCCCCATCACAACATTTATGCATTGGAAACATCATATTTGAACAGTTTAACATTTCCACTGTGTGTACATAGTTCCTGCCCTGTTTTTGTGTTATTTTAAATGGAATAATCTGCCTATGAGGCCAGGAGCCATCCTATGTTACCTATGTTCAGAGAAATTCTTAGAGAATTTGTCTGATAATTATTTAGACTAAATGTTATACCTCAATCCCGAGCGTGGTGGCTCACACCTGTAATCCTAGCACTCTGGGAGGCCGAGGCAGGGGGATCACTCAAGATCAGGAGTTCGAAACCAGCCTGAGCAAGAGCGAGACCCCGTCTCTACTAAAAATAGAAAGAAATTAATTGGCCAACTAAAAATGTATAGAAAAATTAGCCGGGCATGGTGGCACATTCCTGTAGTCCCAGCTACTTGGGAGGCTGAGGCAGGAGGATCACCTGAGCCCAGGACTTTGAGGTTGCTGTGAGCTAGGCTGGCCACAGCACTCTAGCCCAGGCAACAGAGTGAGACTCTGCCTCAAAAAAAAAAAAAATTGTATACCCCAAACTGAATTTGAGTCACATATATGTGGATGTTTATTGGCGAGATCGCTAAGAAGAAACAAGTTTGGAGTAAGTTTACCCTCCAGATTCATGATATTCAGAGAATCTCTTCACAGACTGCTTTCTCTGGGTAAATGCCATTTCCTCATATAAGTCTAACGGATATTATGCTTCTTGCTCTAGTGTGGAAGATTTCATCCCTTGGAAATCTTACCAGTTGTATTCCATTTGATAATTTTTCTGCATAAATATCTTGAAGCAGTTGGGAGCCTTTGGTTTTGAGTTGCAAATTCAATTCTGAAAATAAAATAAAAAATGTAGGTTTGGAGAAAAACTAGAGGATAAAATTGTTTAAAATAGTAAGGCACAGGAATGGCATTATCAAATGTAGCACAGTGGGGAGCTCCAGGGCTCCTTCCCACCACAAGACAACTAACAAACTCAGAAAAGTTATCAGAATCAACTGTTGCAGAACTTTGGAATCTGGTCAAACATTTATAACAACCAGGGGAACACTTGAGGAAGAAAGAGTGGCTGCATTTCACTAGGAGAACACTGTAGCATTTTAAATTGGAAGGTACCATCCGCAGCCTCCAGATTACCCACTGCTGTACAGATGGCAGGACAAATGCCCTGTGCAAGTTGGCAGCACTGAAAGGAGCAATAGGGGCCTTAACCTCAAATAATTTTTTTTTGAATTGTGTTTTGAACTGTCTGGCAGCTCCCTCAAGGGCCAGTTCAGGGGCTTGCTTCTATTTCACCCAACTCAAAGTTCCCAAAACTAAGGCAGCATCCCAAGCAGCTTCTGCTCAAAGTGTTACCTAAAGGTAAAGTGTTGCCTGTAGCAACCTGAGAAAAGGGAAAACAGCTGGGACAATCAATAGACAGACTGAAAATCCTGATAAAGAGCAGGTTGGGAATGCTGATATGTGGATTAATAAGGGCTTTAAAAGCTCCAGTGTCTACCAGGAAATCAAGAAGGCCATAAGCATACTCAGGGCTGAATGTATGCTCAGAAAGCCCCTAAGTTTTCACTTCTGGCAGACCAATGAGATCCATATAAGCAGCAAAGGGAGACTAAGGAAAAGGTGTAAACAGCCTGGCTTGGCAATGAAGAAGTGACCCAACACATAGGCCGTCAGCAAAACACAAAACAATCTTGTTTCTTTTTTATTTCTTGGCTCTAGGCATTTAAGGAAACTGTCACTCTAATGTGATCACTAAGCTAAAGAACACAGCCTTTCAGGACTGCACTAAAAAGAATGCAGACTCCACAAAAAAAATTTATAAAAGACACTACACAGTCCAGGCGTGATGGCTCATGCCTGTAATCCTAGCACTCTGAGAGGCCAAGGCGGGAGGATCGCTCAAGGTCAGGAGTTCAAAACCAGCCTGGGAAAGAGCGAGACCCTGTCTCTACTAAAAATAGAAAGAAATTAATTGGCCAACTAATATATATAGAAAAATTTAGCCAGGCATGGTGGCAATTGGCTGTAGTCCCAGAAGAAGGATTGCTTGAGCCCAGGAGTTTGAGGTTGCTGTGAGCTAGGCTGATGCCATGGCACTCACTCTAGCCTGGGCAACAAAGTGAGCCTCTGTCTCAAAAAAAAAAAAAAAAAAGACACTACACAAACATTAGCCACAAGCAATAACAAACCCCAAGGAGAGAGAATCAGATTTCAAAATTGCCACATTATAATATCCAAAACATACATTTTCAGCAAAAAAAAAAAAAAAGAAAAGAAACCTCATCAAAGCCCCAAAGAACTAAAGTAGGGGCCTGTGACTCACACCTGGTTTTGAACTCCTAACCTCAAGTGATCCTCCCGCCTCGGCCTTTCAGAGTGCTATGATTATAAGTGTGAACCACCGCTGAATATTATTTAGCCATAAAAAACGAATGAAGTACTGATACATGATACAACATGGATGAACCCTGAAAACATTACGCTAAGTGAAAGAAGTCAGACAAAAAAGGTCACATTGTATGATTCCATTTATATGATATATACAGAATAGGTAAATCCATAGAGAGAGAAAGCCAAGTAGTGATAGCAAGGGTTGGGGGTAGAGGTGAATGGGGAGCGACTACTTAATGACAATAGGGTTTCCTTTTGGGGTGATAAAAGATGCTTTGGAAATAAAAAGAGCTGATGATTGCATAACACTGCATGTACTCAATGCCAATGAAGTATATGCAGTAAAATGGTTAATTTTTATGTATTTGACCTCAAATATAAGCATATGGCACATATATATACATCTTTCTAAATATGAAACATGATAAAAATGCTGAAGCAGGAGGAGGCATGGACTACAAAGAATCTGGCTATGTCAGAAGTTTGGCAATGATAAAGAACTGGTGTCAAAACTATAGGTAAATTACCAAGTAATAAATATAAGATTACTTGAGTTCAGGAGTTCGAGACTAGCCTGAGCAAGAGCAAAACCCCGTCTCTACTAAGAACGAAAAAAAAAAATCCGCTAGGCAACTGAAAATAGAAAAAATTAGCCAGGCATGGTGGTGTGCGCCTGTAGTCCCAGCTACTTGGGAGGCTGAGGCACGAGGATCACCTGAGCCCAGGAGTCTGAGGTTGCCGTGAGCTAGGGTGATAGCACAGCACTCTAGCCTGGGCAACAGAGCAAGGCTCTGCCGTACCTAAGGAAACTCAGAAACCAAATGGCCTCAGCCTTCTTAAGAAAAAGAGAAGCCCTGAGAAGTTTACAAAGTTACATTTCCAAATATATGGCATGATTCCCAGACAAGCACTGCTCTTCATAATCCTATGCCTGCTTGTGAACTTACCCTGCAGAAGAACTCTTCTCACTCCTGTTCTCAGCTCTTCCCCTCCTTCCAATGGAGACGTGAGAATAGGTTTGCATAATTCAGACTTTGCTGGAGGGAAAAAATACATTAAGGAACAGGCAATGCAAGACATGACACCATGTCCTTGAATTGGGAACCAACACGTTTGCCTTCAGGAATTCTGAAGATGGTCAAGTGTAATTTTACAAATAGCAAACTAATCATGCAACATTTCCAATAAATGCAGAAAAACTACTTTAAAAGGAACAAAAATGCAAGCACATTCTGTCTCTAGAATATCCTCAAATGACTAGGGAGCTCCAAGACCTGATAACCAAGTCTGATCTTATACACACTTAAAACCTCAAAGTCTTGGCCCGGCGCGGTGGCTCACACCTGCAATGCTAGCACTCTGGGAGGCCAAGGCAGGAGGATCACTCAAGGTCAGGAGTTCGAAACCAGCCTGAGCAAGAGCGAGACCCCTTCTCTTAACTAAATATAGAAAGAAATTAATTGGTCAACTAAAAACATATGGAAAAAATTAGCCGGGCATGGTGGGATGTGCCTGTAGTCCCAGCTACTCAGGAGGCTGGGACAGAAGGATTGCTTGAACCGAGAAGTCTGAGGTTGCTGTGAGCTAGGCTGACACCACGGCACTCTAGCCTGGGCAACAGAGTGAGACTCTGTCTCAAAAACAAACGAACAAAAAGAAAAACCTCAGAGTTTTCTTTCTTTTTTTTAGACAGAGTCTCACTCTGTCACCCTGGTCGAGTGCCGTGGCCTCAGCCTAGCTCACATCAACCTCAAACTCCTGGGCTCAAGCGATCCTCCTGCCTCAGCCTCCTTAGTAGCTGGGACTACATGCACATGTCACAATGCCTGGCTAATTTTTCTATTTTTAGTAGACAGCGTCTTGCTCTTGTTGAGGCTGGTCTTGAACTCTTCACCTCAAGCGATCCACCTGCCTTGGCCTCCCAGAGTGCTAGGATTACAGGTGAGCCACCGTGCCTTGCCAAAACTTCAAAGTTTTTAATCCATAAGGGAAATTCAGAATTTTTAATCTTAGACCTGTCTTCATTTTCACAGTGAATTCTCTACACAGTAATGCTCATTGGCTGGAGTGTATGACTGTCTTGTTTATATCACAGTATTCCCATTTGTCAGCTAACACTTAAGAAACACTCATTTTCTAAAGGGCTCAGTGAAGAAACTATGCCACTCTTACCTAGTGTGATGAGGTTCTTGTAGTTCTCCAACATCACATTTCTGTAGAGATCTCTCTGTGTTTGATCCAACAAAGTCCATTCTTCCTGAGTAAAGTCCACAGCCACATCCTCAAAGGTTACTAAGTGCTAAATCATCAAATACATGTTGGCTTCAGCTAAGTACCATCTTCTTTGATGTTCTGGGAAAGATGTATGAAGGACTAAGGGAGACTAGAAGCCTACAGTACTCCTGGACCTCAGATCTCTCCTCCTCTCTCTCTGTAGATTATGTCTGGTAAATCCATCTGGTCACATGGATTTCCCAGTGTCACTGACATATGACTAAACTTACCATGACTTTATTGCAGGCTGTTCTCACCTTACTCCTCCTCTCCTTATAGGCTACAGTTAGGACTGAGCGCATTACAGCACTCTGTAAAATCTGTTAACAATTATTTCCACAGTGACACACAAATTCCTTGAGATTAGATCACCTTCTTTTTTTTTTGGAGACAGAGTCTCGCTTTGTTGCCCAGGCTAGAGTGAGTGCCATGGCGTCAGCCTAGCTCACAGCAACCTCAAACTCCTGGGCTCAAGCAATCCTCCTGCCTCAGCCTCCCGAGTAGCTGGGACTACAGGCATGCGCCACCATGCCCGGCTAATTTTTTCTATATATATTAGTTGGCCAATTAATTTCTTTCTATTTATAGTAGAGACGGGGTCTCGCTCTTGCTCAGGCTGGTTTCGAACTCCTGACCTCGAGCAATCCGCCCACCTCGGCCTCCCAGAGTGCTAGGATTACAGACGTGAGCCACTGTGCCAGGCCTAGATCACCTTCTTATGATCTGTCATAACACTCAGCAAAACAATTAACCAACAAGCATGACCGAGGATCAGAAAGAATTAATAAACATTGAGAAAAAACGATCATTTCCAGCACAATCTCTGTATAAACTGAGATCACATGGGTCCTGGAGAAATCCACCTGGGGACTCATTTCAGAGCAGAACCATAACTGCTTTAAGAAGCTTGACTATATGACAAGGGGATGAGGCTGTCTGATGGAAACAAGCATAACATTTTCAAGAAGCGCCTACTTTTCACTTGCCTGAGAAGAACCCATCAGTAACCCAGCCACTGTCCCTGTGTCTTCCATGTTCCTCTCATGAAGACAGAGAGTGTCTTGAGAAAGAGGACCTTAGGGAAAAGAATAATAGCATGAAAGTTCAAATCTTTCCACGACACCAACAGCAGCTGTTCCACACCACACACCTAATACATTACAAACACGCTACTTTCATAATATGCCAAAGTTACGTGAAGCAAGAAAAGGGTTTTCTGGATCTTACTATCCATGAAGAAGAGGTTAATAATTCCATTTTGTAATTACATAAATTACAGAGAGGCAGAGTGGTTTACTTGCCAGACATGATAAAATTCATGTTTTATCCCCCTAAAATCACACAAACACACCCCTTCTTGCATCCCAAATCCCAGCACCCTGACTTTTACACATCTGGTTCACTTCAATCCCTCTTACACAGCACATGGCATGATCACTCAACCCCTGAGCAATGGATCTGCCACTTGGGAGGGGACCACATAAAGCAGATGATCTGAAAAGAGGCATCAAGAAGGACTCACCACACATGTAAGTCAGATCCATGGCTGCCATCCTGCGACACTGAGAGGGAAATGTTTCCGAACATTCCACTTGTTGCTCAGGTTACTTCAGAGAAGCTTGTGAATTTAAACAGGTTGATCTTGACTTATTAGTGGAGCAGTGTCTGAGTAACCGGTTCACAAGATCAATCATTAAGTAACAGATGTTTCTTCTCAGTCACAAACATCATTCATTAGCAATCTCTCTGCAGATGATACACATGACAGCCATTAAAAACTACCATACCACATGAACACTAATAACATTTGCCATTCACTGCGTACCGGTTAGGAATTCTACATACATAACATCCTTGAATTGTCCAAGCAACCCTTCAAATTGGGAGGTTTAATTAATACTGTCATTAAATAGCTGAGAATATCGGTTAAGGAGTGGTAAGCCAGGACTAGAGGACAGGTTAGTGTGTCAAAAGCTTGATCTCAGGCCGGACGCTGTGGCTCACGCCTGTAATCCTAGCACTCTGGGAGGCCGAGGCGGGCAGATTGCTTGAGGTCAGGAGTTTGAAACCAGCCTGAGCAAGAGTGAGACCCTGTCTCTACTATAAATAGAAAGAAATTAATTGGCCAACTAATATATAGAGAAAAAATGAGCCGGGCATGGTGGCGCATGCCTGTAGTCCCAGCTACTCAGGAGGCTGAGGCAGCAGGATCGCTTGAGCCCAGGAGTCTGAGGTTGCTGTGAGCTAGGCTGACGCCACGGCACTCACTCTAGCCTGGGCAACAAAGCGAGACTGTGTCTCAAAAAAAAAAAGAAAGCTTGATCTCCTGTGGTTGTTATTCCTAATGTGACCAGAATTCATTCCGGACCTTTGCTGGGTATAATGAAGAGCAGAAATATAAAAGGCTTTATGCGATTCGGCATAAAAAATTCAGCATTAAAAATACATCCCCCTGAATACTCTCTACAGGAGCCTGGCTGGATCTGGAGTCTTTGCCTGCCTTCATTCAGGCAGCAAATATGTATTAATGTGGCAGGCCAGGTACTGCGCATTGAGCAGTTTTCAGGGATCTCACATTTCAATGGGAGCAATGCAGGAAATAAACAGGTAATTGATTTATTAGTTGGTGACAAGCAGCATAGCAACACACACAAAAATGTATTTCTGATATAGAAATAAGACTGCTTAGGGTTAAGATAAAGACAGAATAGGAAAAATAACCACATCAGAGGACTGGAGTAATTGATACCTCACTTACTTAAAAAAAATAGTCTTAGGCCAGACACAGTGGCCCAAGCCTATAATCTCAGCACATTGGGAGGCCAAAGCAGGAGGACTGCATGAAGCCAGGAGTTTGATACCAGCCTGGGCAACATAGCAAGACCCCACCTCTACAAAAAATTTTTTTAAAAATTAATGTCTCACTTTTGACCCAAAGACATTTGAACTTGATTATGATGATTTTAGACAAGACTCAAAATACATTTCTAATACCAGCTACTTCAGTAAGGTCTGAATTATGTTATTTTTCCTTTATGCTGAAATTGAAGTCATTGCATATTATCTCATAGATAGCTACGAAGACTGTAACGTAGGCCGGGTACAGTGGCTCATGCCTGTAATCCTAGCACTCTGGGAGGTCGAGGCAGGCAGATTGCTCAAGGTCAGGAGTTTGAAACCAGCCTGTGCAAGAGCGAGACCCCATGTCTACTAAAAAAAAAAAAAAAAAAAAAAAAAAAATAAATGGCCAAAAAAAAAAAAAAAAAAAATATATATATATATAAAATTAGCTGGGCATGGTAGCACATGCCTGTAGTCCCAGCTACTCGAGAGGCTGAGACAGAAGGATTGCTTGAGCCCAGGAGTTTGAGATTGCTGTGAGCTAGGCTGACGGCATGGCACTCTAGCCTGAGCAACACAGTAAGACTGTCTCAAAAACAACAACAAAAAAGCCTGTAATGTAAACAAATTTTTCATCTTTTCATATTAGTGATCAGTTCTACTGTTTTCAATTAAGTACTGGTTTTATTATTATTCATTCTTTCTGAACATTTTATTCTATTTTCATATTTCTCATTCAATTTTATGAGTTAGAACAGAGGTGCTCAACCTTTTTGGCTCCAGGGACCTGTTTCATGGAAGACAATTTTTCCACAGACTGGGGGTGGGGTGGTGGCGGTGTGGAGCTCAGGTTGTAATGCGAGGCCCATCTCCTAACAGACCACGGACTGATTCCAGGCCTGGGGGTTGGGGATCCAAGAGTTAGAACACTTAATTCTTGAACTTCTTTTACTGAATTACTGCAGACATACAACTGAGGGAGGCAAGTATGAATAAAAATCTCAGTGAACTATCAAGAAATGAACTGCCCCATATAACCACCGTTTAGGTCAAGAAATATAACATTTCCATACCCTGTATCTCAGACATGCCTCCCAATTGCAATACTACCCTCACACCTAACACTCTAGTTGATTTTGCCTATTTTTGAATTTTAAAGAGACAGCATAAAACAGTATGCGTTCTTTTGTGTCTGGCTTCTTTTATTCACCATTATGTTTGTGAGGCTTACACAGCTGTATTCATCTACCTTTGATTTAGTTCTTCTCTTTGCTGAAGCATGTGTCACAGAAAAAAATATGCCACAATCCATCCATTCTTCTATGTGTCCACATTTGAGCTGTTTCCAATTTAGGGCTATTTCAAATAACGCTATGAATAATCCTTACCTATATCCTGGTACATACACGCATGCATTACTGTTGCATTATCAACAGTTCATATTTAGTTGATGTTGTTTAAAGATGTGTTTTCACCAGCAATGAGTGCACATTTTAAACAACACTTGGTACTGTCACTCACTTGAGATTTACTTTTAAACATTCAGCTTGTGTGTGTACTACTATCACTTTGTGGTTTCAATTTGCATCTCCCTGGTTACTAATATCAAGCACCTTTTCATATATTTATTGTCCATTGCGCCATGTTCTTTAATGAAGAGCCTACACAAATGTATTGCTAAGTTTTCTATTGGGTTTTCATTTTGGGTATCCATTTGTAGGATTTATTGTATAACACGTGAGGCAAGTAACCAAGTATTGAAATTCAAATATCACATCTGCACGTTATTTCAATTTATTTATCACATTTACACCCAGAAAAGATTAATTTATCATAAATATTTATTTATACACAGGAGATGAAGAGAAACAGAAAAGAGCAAAATATTAACAAATGGTCAATCTAAGTCAGTCTACAACAAGAATACATAGGTGTTCGATGTTCTAGACTTTCACATTTTGCTTGGTTTAGAAATATTCAGTCTAAAATGGGCAAAACAAACTCCAGTTGATCAAAACACATCTCTTTCACGGTTAACACAGCCCTAATTTATGACACTAGCATAATGAAGGCTGCGTCCTGCTTTCTGGAAGCCCCTCTGTTTTAAAACTCTTTGAGGATGTACAGACCTAGGCAGTTCTGCTGTTGATCTAAAACAAACAAACAAACAAAAAACCCTAAAAAACAACAGCAGGGTATCCCTATCTAGCCTTTAATAGAAAGCTTGCGGCCACGTGTTTTTCTTTCTATAAACCTACAAATCCTGCAAACCTACGAAAGCCCCTTAAATTGCCCACCTGAGCAATTTCTCAGGCTTCAAGAACCGACGCTCCCAGCCAGAGCATCTCGGTCCACCGCTCACCGGAACGCACCGCAGTCGCCAGGTCCGGGAGGAGAGGACCCTGGGGGCGTCTTCCAGAACAGCGGAGATGCTTTTCCTCCTGGAGGAAGGACAGAAAGGTTGACTGACTGCTTTTTAAGAGAGGCGCACGGTGGCTGGAGAGAGAAGTCCGCCTCCACCGGGAACCCTGAGCCCAGTCGCAGGCGGGCGCCGCGGGCAAAGGCCCTTGGAGGCGGCGGCGGCGGCGGGGTAAACCGAGGCGCGGGGACAGCGGAGCGGCGGGGACTGAGCGCAGAGCCCGGGGCGGCGCCCTGGGGCCCCGGCTCCTCCTCCCACCAGGCCCTCCCGCAGCGCCCTACCTGGGCGGGGGCAGCACACTCTCCGAGGCGAAACCCTCTCTCAGAAGCGGGTGGTTGGGCGAGTCCCGACTTCCTCCGCCGCACGGCTTTGCACTTCCGCTTCCGGTGTACGCACCGCGATGGGCGTAGGGGGCGGGGCTTCAGGAGCTAAGGGATCAGGATGGCGGGAGGCAGAGCGACGACGTCTGGGGCCGCGTCAGGGAAGTCTCAGTTTCCTCCCCTGTGCACGGTAGACCTGGATCCACATCAGGCTGCCAGTATCGGGAGGGTGACGCCCGACCTGGGAGCCGAGCGCAGAGGACTGGGTGGGAGACGGGGACAGACGTGGAGGGTGGGGAAAGGACATCTAAGACTTGGAGTACAGGCGTTAGGATGCTCATCAGAGGCTTTTCGGAGGGCCCTTTCTCCTTGTTTCTTCAGCCTTCTGCAGAAATGTGCACGTATTTACAAAGATAAACCTGCCAGTCCATAAAATCATCCCTGCCTCTGATACATTCAGTCCCTTCTTTAGACCTTTAGTTTTGCTTGAGGTAGAATTCTCAAAGCATGCACTTCACCCATTTGAAATGTACGATCCTGTGGCTTTTTGTGTATTCAAAGAGTTGTGCATCTATCACCATAATCGATTTTAGAACATTTTTACAACCTCAAGAAGAACCCCGGACCCGGTTAGCCATAATCTCCCAATCCTCCCAGCCCACTTCCACCACTGCAGTCCAAGGCAACAACTAATCTTTCTGTTTCTAGATTTGCCTATCCTGGACATGTCGTGTAAATGGAATTACAGTATAAAAGATGTGGTCTTTGTGTCTAGCTGTTTTTCACTTATCTGATGTTTTCAGGATTCATCCATGTTGTAGCATGTATGAGTACTTAATTTCTTTTTATTACTAAATAATATTCAATTGTATGGCTATATCACTATCCATTTATCAGTTGATGGTCATTGGGCTTTTTCCTCTTTTTTGGCTTATGGATAATACAGGACACCTCTAAAGCACTGATCAAAGGAAAGTTCATATTCCTAAACGCTGTTGTCAATACAAATGAGAGCATGATAAAAAATAAAATAAATCTCTAGCTAAAAAAACAAAAAACAAACAAACAAAAAAACCTAGAAAACAAATATCAATCCTCTCGACTCAGTCTCCCAGTGTGCTGGACTACAGGCATGAGCCATCTTCCATGTGAGACTGAGCAACTTATAAAGGGGAGCAGTAAAGGGGGTTCAGGGGAGAGAGCAAGCTTTGTGCAAATCATCATGACTTGTTTGATGGTTACCAGCAAACAGTAGGTCGTCTGGGGTATCTGGCATCAGCAGTCTGCAGATGGCCTATTCCAGACTCTTCATCTGTTTTTCCTCAAGGTCGGTTAATTTTTTGTTTCTTTTGCTGTCAGAAATATTGTATTGAGGTCAAGGTTGTTTTCTAATCTTATGCATGGCAGCAAGCAGCAGGTTAATTCTAAACTTTTAAGACACAACAAGGCCGGGCGCAGTGGCTCACGCCTGTAATCCTAGCACTCTGGGAGGCCGAGGCGGGCAGATCGTTTGAGCTCAGGAGTTCGAAACCAACCTGAGCAAGAGTGAGACCCCATCTACTATAAATAGAAAGAAATTAATTGGCCAACTAATATATAGAGAAAAAATTAGCCAGGCATGGTGGCGCATGCCTGTAGTCCCAGCTACTCAGGAGGCTGAGGCAGCAGAATTGCTTGAGCCCAGGTGTTTGAGGTTGACGCCACGGCACTCACTCTAGCCTAGGCAAGAAAGCGAGACTCTGTCTCAAAAAAAAAAAAAAAAAAAAAAAAGACACAACAAGGCAAAAGTATACTGGAAGCAAAGTGGCTTCCCTTTAGCTAGCCAAAGTTTATAGTCTGAATGGCCTTTGGGGTGTGCTTACACTGGCAGCTATTGTGAATCACAGTGCTATGAACATTGCTGTACAAATATCAAAAAAGACCTGAGAATATCTTCACGTTATACCTCAGGCTGATCCTCGGCACACAGACAGACTGCAACAGCAACAACAAACTGACCAAAACAATAAACAAAAACAAAACACCACAAAATCCTGGAGGGCCAGGCATGGTGGCTCACGCCTGTAATCCTAGCACTCTGGGAGACTGAGGTGGGAGGATTGCTTGAGCTCAGGATTTTGAGACCAGCCCAAGCAAGAGTGAGACCCCTGTCTCTAATAAAATTAGAAAGAAATTATCTGGACAACTAAAATTATATAGAAAAAATTAACCGGGCATGGTGGCACATACCTGTAGTCCCAGCTACTCAGGAGGCTGAAGCAGGAAGATTGCTTGAGCCCAGGAGTTTGAGGTTGCTGTAAGCTAGGCTGATGCCACAGCACTCTAACCCGGACAACAGAGTGAGACTCTGAAAACAAAAACCAAGTGCCCATCAATTCATGGGTGGTTTAATAAAATGTGGTATATGTATACCACAGAATACTACTCAGCCATAAAAAAGATGAATTAATACCTTTTGCAACAATCTGGATAAAACTGGAAACCATTCTCCTAAGCGAAGTATCTCAAGAATGGAAAAACAAACACCACATGTACTCACTGTTAAATTGGAACTGATAAGAACACATGTACATAGAAGGAAGTAAAACTCAGTGGAAATCAACCAGGGGTGAGGAGAGAGAAGGAGAGAGGCAAAAATCTACCTATGAACACTATTTGGGTGACAGACACAGGTATAGCCAGGACTCAAGCATTACAAAAGTTATCCATGTAAACTAAAACACTTGTACTTGCTTAATATTTTGGAATTTGAAAAAAAATGATGGTACTTTGAGAAAGGCAATCTGATATTCATAATGTTTATTTGTTTTCTGGTATTCAAGTATGACTGGAATACTTTCTGGACAACCCTCATACACTCCCTCATGAAGAATTGTGGCTGAGAGCTTTCCCACACTTATTACATTCATAAAGTTTCTCATCAGTATGTATCTGTCACCCAGGATGGAGTGCAGTGGTGTGATCATAGCTCACTGCAACCTTGAATTCTTGGGCTTAAGTGATCCTCCCACCTCGGTCTCTCAAAGTTCTGGGATTACAGGTGTGAACCATTGCACCTGATCCCTCATCTGTCTCATAAGTGATGAGGATTTACTTAAAGCATTCCCATATTCCTAACATTCACATACGGTTTCTCTCAAGTGTGAGTTCTCACGTGGACAGTAAGATATAATCAGTGAAAGCTTTCCCACATTTTTTACATTTATAGGCGTTCCCTCCACTGTGAATTCTTATATGCTTCTAAAGTATGAGTGACAGCCAAAAGTCTTCCCATATTGCTTATACTCATATGGTCTCTTTCCAGTGTGAGTTCTCAAGATTTTCCTACATCTTCATGGAACACTGAAAGATTATCCATATTCCTTACATTCATGGAGTTTTTCTCTAGTGTGAGAACTTATACGTGCATTAAGATGGGAAGAATTGCTGAAGACTTTCCCACATCCCTTACATTTACAGTTTTTCCTCCAGTGTGTGTTCTCATATATAAAATGAGGCTTGCAGAGTGACTAAAGGCTCTTGTACATTGTCTGTATTCATTGGGTTTTCCTCCAGTGTGAGTTCATATGTCTAAAGTAAGTGGTTTAAAAATTATTTATTTATTTTTAGAGACAAGGTCTCACTCCATGCTCAAATGCAGTGGTGTGATTCATAATCATAGCTCATAGAAGCCCTGAACTCCTGGGCTCAGCTCAAGCGATCCTCCTTCTTCAGCCTCCAGAATAGCTGGGACTACAGGTACTTGCCAATGTCCAGTAATTGTTTTGTTTGTTTTTGTAGAGACAAGGTCTCGCTATGTTGCCCAGGCCAGTCTCAAACTCCTGGTCTTGAGCAATCCTCTCACTTTGGCCTCCCAAAGTACTAGAATTACAGGCATGAGTCACTACACCGGGCCAAGAATAATGTATGTTCTTGTATAAGAAAAAGGGGGAAATGAGAATGAATATGTGTGTGTATGTGTGTGTGAATATGTGTGTATGAATTCATATACATATATGTACCTTATTTTTGAGAAAAGCAACACTGTAACAATAAACTTTAAACTAATGAAACAAAAATTTTTACTCATATGGGATGGGAGGAACAATGGGAGGGATACAGACAAGATTGACACTTTGGTATATACTTTTGCATATCGTTTTGATTTCTGAACTGTGTAAATGTTACATATTTTCAAATAGTAAAATTAAATAAAAGGAAGGAGATAAAAAAACAAACCCTAAAATGGAATACTATCAATAACGAATGAATCTAATACTAACAAAAACAAAGGAATCTAACTGAATATCAACCTGACAACATAGCAATGTAGAGAAAAGAATTAAGTAATTTTGAACCCAGTACTGACTGTATATCCTAAGTGAAATATATCCTAAGGACAAAAACAACTGCAAGGAAACCCTAAACTTAGCTTAAAAAAAAGGTTTATCATTAGCAGGTATTGTCATTTCGAGGCTATTTTATTTACATGTGTAAAAAAGAAAATTAATAACTATATTAATGATATTAGAAACAAAGGTTTTCAGTGTAAGAGAAACAAGATAAAATATTTTTTAAAGCATCAGAAAACCCTGTTATTGGATTTGAATTATCACATTCATAATTTTCTTACAAGTATAAATCTTAACTTTGTCAACTAAAGGGCCTAGGAAATTAATACCTCCATAACATTGAGTGCACAAGCAAAGATCTAGGTTTCTAAATGCCATTCCCCTACTAAAAGATTTACTTCAAAAATGGAAGGGGCCGGGGGTGGTGGCTCATGCCTGTAATCCTAGCACTTTGGGAGGCCGAGGCGGGCGGATTGCTCAAGGTCAGGAGTTCAAAACCAGCCTGAGGGAGACCCCGTCTCTACCAAAAAAATAGAAATAAATTAGCCGGGCATGGTGGCGCATGCCTGTAGTCCCAGCTACTCGGGAGGCTGAGGCAGTAGGATCGCTGAGCCCCGGAGATTGAGGTTGCTGGCCAGCATAGATCACCCTTCTTATGATCTGTCATAACACTCAGCCATAAACAATTAACCAACAAGCTGACCGAGGACAGAAAAATATAAATGAGAAAAACGATCATTTCCAAGCATCCAATCTCTGTATAAACAGTGCACATGGGTCCTGGAGAATCACCTGGACTCATTTCAGAGGCAGGACCATAACGCTTTAACGGACGCTTGACTACTATGACAAGCGGCGAGGAGGTGCCCTCTGATGGACACAAGCATAACATCAAGAAGCGCCTATTTTCACTTGCGCTGAGAAGAACAATCAGAATCCAGCCACTGTCCCTGTCTCCATGTTGCTCTCATAGAAGACAGAGACGTGGTCTGAAAGAGGACCTTAGGGAAAAAATAATAGCATGAAAAGTCAATCTTCCCGAACACCAACAGCAGGTTCACACCACTCACTCAATACATTCATCAAACACGCTACCTTTCGCATAATATCCAATCGGAAGCCAAGAAAAGTGTTATTCTGATCATATCCGAAGAAGAGGTTAAAATTCATTGAATTACATAAATTACAAAGGGCAGAGGTTTACTTGCAGATCATGATAAAATCATGTTTATCCCCCAAACACCCACAAAACACCCTCTGCATCCCTAAATCCCAGCACCCTGACTTTACGCATCTGTCACTTCAATCCCTTTAGCACACACATGGCATGAATACTCAACCCCCTGGCAAAGTATCTGCCACTTGGGACGGGGGACCACATAAAGCAGAACGATCTGAAAAGACGCATCAGAAGAATCCACCAACATGATAAGGTCAGATCATGGATCCACCTGCGACAACTGAGAGAATGTTCCAAATTCACTTCGTTCTCGGTACTCAGAGTACAGCTGCTTGGTGAATATAACAGGTTGATCGATTGGACTATTAGTGAGCAGGCTGAAGTAACCGGCTTCCAAGATCAATCATAGAAACAATCTTCTTCCAGTCACCACATCATTCATTAGCAATTTCTCTGCAGATGACACAGACAGCCATTAAAAACTACCGATACCACCATGAACACAACAACATATCCATTCACTGCGCTACCGGTTTAGACATCTTACAGTACCGGAGCCATACCATCCTGATGGTCCAACACCCTTCAAATCGGGACGGTTTACTTCAATCCTGTCATTAAAATAGGCTGGAAAATCGGTTAAGGGTGGATAGCCAGGACTACGAGGACAGTGCGGTAGGTGTCAAAAGCTGATCTCAGCGCCGGACGCCACGTGGCCACGCCTGTATTCCTGACACTCGGCGAGGCCGAGGCGGGCAGATTGCTTAGAGGTCAGGAGTTTGAACCAGCCTGAGCAGAGTAACCCTGTCTCTACATATAAATAGAAGACATAATGTGGCCCCACTACTATATAGAGAAAAATGAGCGGGCATGGTGAGCGCATTGCCTGTAAATAGTCCCAAGCTTATCATCAGGGTGAGCGCAGACGCTTGAGGCCCA